AGGCCCGCGGGCCACATGGCCCAGGATGGCATCGTCCACTTACTGAACACGCGAGGAGCATTGTTTCTGATGAGTCCCAGTGAGTTTCGCGTGTGGCCCAAGACAACGCTTCCTCTTTGACTTAACCTAGGAGAGTCCTTTGCATTCCCCATGTCATGTTAAAAAACATCTTTTTTGCTGCATGCACGCCAGTACCTGGTGACTAGAACTTACTATTTGAGCACGCGCACGCGCACACACACACACACACACACGAGCAACAAATGATAACATTTGCTTTTCCTGGAAATTCGTGCTACTTCCAGGCTTTCCTTAGATAGCATTCTAGTGTGAACAGCAGTCTCAGACAGTGCGTAGCCTTATCTTCTGTTGTACCTTGGCCTAATGTACCTTAGTTCTCGCGGTTGTCCTTCCTATCACCTTTATTCCTATTACCTGGATTTCCCCTCGATGTCCACAGACCGCTCTCTCCACACAGACCACAGATGCGTTGACCTTGGTACCCTCATCGTCTTCCCCGTGAATTCCTCATGCGTATTCCTCCAGAGTAAATGAGCCAAGCTCTCGCGTATACATCTATTTATCCACAGCCTCATTTTTAGGGGGTTATATTTTGTGTCTAAAAATAACCATCATGACCCCACCACTTAGCACAGTTCCTGGCAAGCGATAGAATAATAGACAATATTTATTACATTCATTCATCTATCTGTTCACCTTTCAGACTCTATAAGAATAAGTCGCTGAAGCATTTCTTTATTCTTACATTTGATTTATTAAATGTTTGCAAACTATACATCAAGCACTTATTTTTGACTAAAATTTTTCTTTCTCTAATAACAATCTTTTTTTCCCCTCACCAATAGGAGATATTTTAAAAGCATGACAGTTCAATTATTATTTTTGGTTTCTCTTTAATGCAATTGTAGTCAGATAAACAGATGTGATTTGTGACATTTAAAAGAATGCGGCCACTTTTATATCCAAATACAAAAACACAGTGTTTTAAAATGCTAGAGTTAGTAAAAAATGTAAATTTGTGAGAGGATCTTTCTGTTTTCATGTCTACTTCAACATAGGTATGTGTTGACTACTCTGTTTAAATAAAAATAATGTTTGTTAAGTTTTCTGAACATTACTTATAATTTACTTTCTTTGCTATGGCAAGTACTGCCAGAATCTTACGTGGATGTATTAGGAGAGAAGGTTGACCATACTATGTTTACTAATACCTCTGCAATGTTTACTTTTCTTATTTTAAGGTAAATATCAGACTCTGACAGGTTAAAAGAAAGTATTGGGCCCTGGCTGGTGTGGCTCAGTGCACTGAGCGCCGGCCTGTGAACCAAAGGGTCACTGGTTCGATTCCCAGTCAGAGCACAGGCCTGGGTGGTGGGCCAGGTCCCCAGGAGGGGGCGTGCAAGAGATAACCCCACATGACTGTTTCTTCCCCTCCTTTTCTCCCTCCCTTCCCCTCTCTAAAAATAAATAAATAAAATCTTTTTTTAAAAAAGGATAAAAACATACACTGGTAAGCAAGTTTACATAGTGCTTGTTCTCTTTATGAAAGTTATAATGTACTCTTTTGAAAATTATTTAGTAGGTTTTGGCACAATAAAAGAAAAGAATCCCATAGCTAAGACCTGGAAACAGCCATCTCATAAGTTAATGAAGTCAACTGTTTTTAAGCAATAGAAAAAAGAAAACCTGTTAACTATTTGTCTTAGGATGACTTGAAATCACATTTTAGATACCTGCTCTTGAGTAATAATTCTATTTCCCTGATAATTTATTTCTAATTTATTATTTGAAGAAATTTTCATCAGGTAGGCATTTGAGATTTGGGGTATTTTAAAATAAGTCTACCATCACTAAAACTTCAAATCACTAATGTTTTCAAATTATTAGATTTTTGAAAGATTTCATTTATCTACTTTTAGGGAAGGGGAAGGGAGGGAGAAAGAGAGGGAGAGAAACATCCATGTGTGGTTGCCTCTGCGCACCCCCTACCAGGGACCTGGCCCACAACCCAGGCCTGTGCCCTGACTGGGAATCGAACCAGCAACACTTTGGTTCACAGGCCGGCGCTCAGTCCACTGAGCTCCACCAGCCAGGTCATTCAAACGATTAGATTTTCTTTAAAAAGTACATTCGTGTGGACATATTCATGTTTTATTTTCTAATTTGCAGCCCAGACATTCCTCTCACTGCTTTGTTGCCAGAAAAAGTACTCTCTAAACCCTGACTAAGTTTTGCAAATATAAATAATAATCCCGTAAGCATAATCAGCTTCACAAGAGCAAAACTAATCAACGCGAAGAATTCTCATTTGCAGGCTGCAAGAACTAAGCCTTGAACTGCTGGGTCTCCTGACCTGTGTTCCATGTGAGAAAAATCCAATTCTCGTCCCTCCGAGGAAACTGCGGGTACCCCCCAGCACGCTGCGCTCAGCACGCCAGCCGCCTTATGCCAATTCTTCCTGATCGCCGCTCTCCAGAAACAAGGCTCTTCAAAGAGCCAAACTGCAGAGCAGCGTGTCATGCACTATTGGAGCTCATTTTCACTCCAGTGTTCAAATGCTGCAGTTCGAGAACTGGATGGCTGTTGCATCTCAAGAGTGAATAACCAATACACTTGATGAAAAGGACGGTTCGGTGTTCATTGCTGTTGGAAGAGATTTAATGCTTGAAGAGAAACAATTTCACTGTAACTTGTTAAGATATTAGAATTAGTTGAAATTTTCACCTGATCTCTTTTGTCAGATTACCTCCTTCCCTTTATGCTGTTTCTTCTGCACGTTTTGCTTCACATTCTTGGACATGATTTTTATTCTTCTGAGCTTAAAAAAAATACACTGTTTATGTTATTCAATTTGACTAGTATCAAGCGCAGTGTTATGACAGTAGTCATCCTGAAGATTCGGGGGAAATAAATTTGAACTTCTAATGCTATTTTAAACTTAACGGTACTACATTTATTTAAAAATGTGGTTTGAAAGATAACAATGTTCTTTTCTGCTATAAAATATAAGTTAGTGATAAAAACCCAGGGAACATTTATACTCTATTGTGTCTACTTGAAAACTATTAATCAGACATGAGCACTGTGTGGGAAATCACAGAAAATTTAGGTGTGATTGTTACTTTTCAGTGATCATCTGGGCAGAAATGTACACATGTGGAGAAAAGAAATATAAGGATTTGATTAATACATTTTTCTGCTTTAATTCAAAATTTAGTACTTAGCATCAAAGTAGGCAGATTATATTTTCTTACTCTGTTTTAATTTATAATAAAAGAATCTTAAAATATCAGAATTACTAATGGATATTATATTGTAAAGTATATTCCAGTGAGGCATTAATTTCAACGTAAAGGGCCGGGGGGGGGCGGTTTGCTTCTGAAATCTCCATCAAAGTATAACCCCTTTAGTGTTTGACCTATTAATATAAAGAATTACGGAGATGTATATAGCCCAATGGTAAATCATGATTGAATTTGTGGATTGAAGTCCACTTGTTCACGTGTCTTATATTTTATAGGACTCTGGATTTTATTTTAGTAATGATGTAGAGTTTTATAAGCGAATATGTGATGATTATTTTTTGTCATGTTTTCCAGACTTTTCCCACATCAGGATCAAGCTAGATTTATGCAAGAATTGGAAAGATTCTTAAAGATTTTGGCAGTTAGGCCTCTATGTTGTTGGGAAATACTTCTCTGATATGATCTTTTCTCTTTTCTTTTACATTGGTCTGTTTAATTTTTAAAAGATATATATCTTACAAAATTATATATGTTCCATATGTATATTTCTAAAATATATACTTATTATATATGTATAATCTTGGAAAAATTAGATTGCTAGAGAGATTACATATATCTAAATGTCCACCCGTTTGACTCAGTTTCTGAGCTAATGCTTCTCTTATCTTCATGCCTACTCCCGTCTTAATCCCAGTAAATAAAGTGATGTTAGTTCAATTTGCCAGAAGTTTTTACACTTCTTACTCATACATTGCCGCCACTCCTTGAAATCAGGAAGTTTAGTGCTGGCTTCCTGAATGTTCCTTCAATTTGTTTCAAACTGTAGGAAATCTGGCGGGGATTATCCAGGCTTTTCACAGTGTGATAAAGTCTTTGAAGTTAACTTTCTGTAAGTTGGCAAAACGCCATTAGACAGCATCAATTTTTGGTTCTGTAGTCACGGTGCTTTGTTGGAAAAGCTGGGTGTTGTTGTTGGTGTTGCTTTGAGTTTTAATTTGACTTTGCACTACCCCATTGATTGGAAGTTAAAACATGTTTTATGTGTTTAATTTTGTAAATGGACTAACATAATTTGAAGTGTAGAATACTCAGAGTTATACTGAAATGAGAAATAAAGTAGCAGAAAACATTAGTGAGAAGATACAGGAAAAAAAAACCACCACCGTCCATCTTGTGCCTTACATCATTTGAGAATTAAAGTGCACATTGTAGTATAACATGGTAATTCCTTTTGTAATTGTGAGAAGACAGTTTTCAGAGTGATCTGTAAATAATGCTTATAAATATGCAATACTAATTGCTTTCGATAGATTTCTGTGGTGTGTACTAGAAAATGAAGCAATGACGGAAAAAAAATGGATAAAAACAAATTTATGTGAGCTCCTTGGAAGTTTCAAATAAGGGGGTGGGTGGAAGCCAATCCGTTTGTCTTGGAGATGCTGCCGATTATATTTTGTATTCTCAAAACCTTGAAGAAAGGTCATATGGGTTTATTCAGTGTTTGTATTGCTACGTCATGAGAGTTGGGAGTTTTGAATCTAAAGTGATCGGTTTCTTTGCAGGAAGTGGGGGGGGGAGCAAGTGGGCCAGCGGTAACGGTAGAAACGACTTTGCGTCACAGTCACCTTGGGCTCCAAGCGGTTGGCAAGATGGTGATCGTGCCGTAACAGAGGGACTGTAGCCCTACGTCAGCCAGCGTTGGTCCCAAAGGTCCAGAAGACAAGCGTTTTGAAGATGGAGGCCAATCAGGAAGGCGCCGTGTCCCCACCGGAAGAGTCACCCGAAGTCCTTTCGACCGACTCTAACCGGGGCCCCGAAGAAGCTGCGGACTTGCCGGAGGCCCAGAAGGAGAAAGGGTACCGGCCCTCCAAGTCCGGCAACATCCTCCGCGCGTGGCTGTTCCAGCACCGCCTGCACGCGTACCCGTCGGAAAGGGAGAAGCGCATGCTGTCGCAGCGCACGGGGCTGTCGTACGCGCAGGTCGCCAACTGGTTCATCAACGCCCGCCGGCGCATCCTGCCACAGATGCTGCAGAAGAGTGGCGACGACCTCTGCCGGAGCCCCCGGTCCCAGCAGAAGAGCAAGACCGAGGGCCCGACAGCCCGCGAGAAAGCCGGCTCCCCTGCGCAGGCCGACGCGGACGCGGGCGACAGAGCCCCCGGGAGCGCAGCCGCGGCCCAAGGCCCGGGGCTGGAGACGCAGCCGGAGGCGGGCGTCGAGGACGGCGCCGGCAGGCCCTCGCGGACGTCCTCTCCCGACTTCAGCAGCTTCCACCTGCTGGTGGAGGCCGCGGTGCAAAGGGCAGCAGAACTGGAGCTGGAGAAGGAGCGAGACGCCAAGCCCTGACTTCCCACGTCTCCCCCTTTGGCCGCGACGGTACGTCCATTTACACTTCCCCTACCGCGGCGTTGTGCTTGTACCTTTTGTAGAGATAGTGTTCCTTCCAGGGGGTTGATGAGAGCCATCAACACAGGCTGGGACTCACTCCTTGCATCCACAGGGGAGAATCGTGCAGCGAACATCTCTTCTTGACTGTTTCCTCTCCCATTGAAACACTTTATGTACAATTACACCAATTCCCCTGATACCTCTTCACAGAGGACTGTTTTGACTTTTCTGATCGGACGTTTGGGTCCCAGGGCTGCTGCAGAGAGCAAGTCACCCCTCTTTATTCCTCTCCCTGTCACTTTCCCTGTTTATCACCGTCACTGATGCAAAATAAAGGCTCTGTAAAAAAAAAAAAAGGCGAGAAATACCACTGGTCTCATTTTAGCGTGGACGTTTTTCTGCAATGCCCAACTCTTCTTCCTTTATGCTGTTCAGTCCTGAATTTTTTTCTGCAGGGGAATAAGCCTAATAGGAAAGCAGAGTCAATTCATAAGCATATCACGTGTAAAGGTTGAAGTATTTTCACGGGTACCACGGAAAACTGCACCATAAAGGTAAGAAAATTCCAGATGGGAATTGTCTGCCATTGGCTGTTGAACAGTTGGTTTTAGAGAATACTTTTTATTAGTTTTAATTCTCTGCGTTACAGAGGAAAAGGGTAAAAACAACAAAAAATAAAAAGCAGAAACACTGACCCAAAGATATCCACAAGAAACAGAATGCAGGAAGATAAATTAAAAAATAAGGGAAAGAAAATAAAATGAATCACTCTTCAACGTTCTGTGACCAAAAAAATGGGACAATTAGATAATCTATTGTTTTTGTTGCTATGGGTTTGGTTTGGTTTTACCTTCTTAATACATTTATTTTTTCTTTTAAAGTCTTGGCATTGGTAGGGGCGGAGGTGGGAAGAAGTAGAGCTTGCTTTCTACTGTCCTGTAGCACTAAATCTTCCCGCTGCCTCAAAGCCAGGCAGATTTTCAATAAGAACGAACGCTATTCCTCCAGAAAGCTGTAATTTAACTTCTCTGATATTAGGGAGCTGAAACCTCAGGAACTTGGGGCTACAAATTGCATGGTAGCCTCGATTTTTGCTCCTGCCCTGAAGTGAAGTAGATCATGTTTGGTCTCTATTTCTGGACCCATTTTTTTTCTTTGTCATATTGGTGTCTAATTACTTGCAAATTTCATTGCAAGACACCCTACCATCTTTTAATATTTTAACAAACAATCACAGGTTCTTTATTACTCAATATTACAATTTTGCATTTTACAAGGAAAGACACCGGGTCCAGGCTTGCCAGCTGCTGTTCCTGAAATAGACTAATGGATGTTGAAGTTTCTCCCTAATGCATTCAGGGAGACTCAGAAGGAGGAAGGGCAAAAATATTGATTATATCCTTTCTAAGGAGGGCCAGTGAACAGTGCAGGCAGCTCCCGTCCCACTCCTTTTCCAAGTCCCTCACCTGAACCCTAACTTTTATGTCCAAGAGCTCTGGGGACACCTTGGGCTTTCTCTGACTCGGTGGAAAATGAACTGTTTTTCAATGTCACTTCTGGGCTCTGGAAAAGGAAGTGTCTTCTTGTCTAACCTCTTCTAGCTCATCTCTAAGGCTGCGGTGTCAAGGGGGATTACTGTGGAGGGATTACTGTAGAACGTGTTCTAAGGGGAATATTCTGGAATGCTGGCAGGGTCCTTCTGTTGCCGTTGTGCATCCTGTGAGGGTGCATTGCGTGACATGGGGCCAGAGAGGCTACTCGTCGGTTTCTGCCTTGGTTTCGTTGTTCTACGAACATGCGGAAGCAGAATATTTTTTTTTCCTCAGCTAAATTAAGAAAAAATATGCAAAACAACTTTTCTGGCTGAGGTTTTGTCAAATACTGTTTTATTAATTTCCATATAAAGGAAGATTCACTCTCATTTCTCTCGACTTTAACCACTGCAGTTGCAGCTTCTCTATTCCCGTTATTTTCTGAGAGTAAAAGTCAGAAAGATTGAATCTACTGCACTCTGTGCAGGGATATGGAAATAATTTTGTAAAGAAACTGCAATTTTTAACCCTCACCATCAAGTCCATGTTGCTTGCGTTTTGCGAACCTGACAGAAAAAAAAAAAATCAGTTTCTAACAACGTGGACTTGTAGAAATAAAAAGGTGAAGGTAGCATTGAGAAAACAACTTGACTGGGCTATTTTTTGGGGAAAGAGAGATTTCTACTGATATCATTGGACTGAGAGAAGTATGTAGTAGAAAGTCTGCGGACGTATGTCCATGGAAGGCAGCTTTAACAAAGGATGAGTGTGATTGGTTGTGAGTGAAGTTATCTCTTGGGTGTTTTCTCAGCCTTGGATGGAGGAGAAATGAGATGCATGAATGTGGACTCCAATAATTTCATGTTAAAAGTATTCTTACAAGAAGCTAGCACATCAGTGTGTCTTAATCCTCTGGTATAGGAGCACGTTTCTAAACAGTTGAGTCATAATGAACATACTCACGCTTGCGTTCTTATCTGTCAAGAGTATAATGCTCTCTAATATATGCAAATGCATCTCACAGAAGAGAAAACACGGGGGCATAATTCTCTTGGATATTTCATTCGCTGAAGACTTAAGACAAAGAATATGTTCCATGCAAGGACATACTTTGTGTACTGTGATTAAGATATTCCAGTAAGTTTCCTTTATATGTCACTTCCTTAAAGCATCTCTTTCTGGTTTTCAAAGATTTTCCAACACTTATATTTGATTTATTTTAGTTACTATGTGTACTGTATCTTTTATATTTCAAGGACCTAGACATTTGTCTCATTTTTTTCTGAAAAAATGCTTCTACATTTACGTGCTTGTTGTTAAAAATATGCCTTAGATCTTTTAGCGTTTCTAGTTTGTCCTTGGGAAACAGGTACAAAGCAGATTGCTCTCAGATCTAAATATGGGGTTTTACATATGAAAGCATATAATTATATTCAATGTTTAAGTATTTATGGATCTTTACTTTGTGTTTTTAGGCCTTCAAGAATCAGCACACACTCAATAATAATCAGATAGGATGTCAAAAATCATAAATAACTAAACCAAGATCAGTTGTAAAGGAAAGGCAAAATTCACTGGCAGGAAACAATTAAAAAATGAAATCCATACGGCCAACTCTTATTATACTTTTTGCTACTATTTTATAGGCATAGTGCCAAGTTGGGGGTCTGTAAGCCTTATCAAAAATGACCCTTAATGCTTTCTGTAAAATGCAAATTGGAAATGTGATACACCTAATTTAAAATACCTCCCTTATTTGCACTTTTTTAAAGCACGTTTTTATTTTCCATAGTATTTTTGTTTCAACAGTTCGTATGAGCTCAACGATACTGGTAACATTTGGAACTTTTCAGTTTGCATTCCTTTATTCTTTTATTCTTTTAAATGAAAAAAAAAATTTTTTTGCATTCTTTTGCTCTGGCTGGTGTGGCTCAGTAGATTGAGTGCCAGCCTGTGAACCAAAGTGTCAGTGGTTCAATTCCCAGTCAGGACACATGCTTGGGTTGCGGGCCGGGTCCCCACTAGGGGGCGCAAGAGAGGCAACCCTACATGAATGTTTCTTTCCTTCTCTTCCTCCATTCCCTCTCTCTAATAATAAGTAAATAAAGTCTTTTAAAATTTTTGCATTTTTAATGAAAAAGATAATAGCAAGGGTGACCAGTGTTTTACTACTAGCTATTTTAAATGTTGCAACCTGCAATTCCTTCTCATGCTCATATATAACAAATGATTAGTCTTTCAGGGATACTTACCAGGGGGGACCCACAAAAATTTTATTTTTTCTTACTGTTACTTTTTATTACTATCCTTTTGAAAATGTTCAAGTTCTACCTTCTTATCCCAAAGATTGCCTGAAGAATTCTAAATTTATTCCTTTAGCTTTTGGGGATAAAATAGAGAAAAAGTTGAATGAGAAATTATTTAAAATCAGTGATAATTTTTATAAAAGATCTCAAAGAATCCAAATTCCCTTGGTACATGCTACTGCAAATTTAATAAAAAGCTCTTACATAAACCTGAATTTTTAGCTATACATCATGATATACATTTTCACTGTTTTACCTTTGAAGATAAATGTTTTCTGCTTTCTGAAAGTTCACCAATTTACCATTAAGGTCTGCACACTCTGTTTATGAGAACATTGAAGAATATTAATAAGAACCTAAAATTAAAGCAACACAAACAGAATGGTTTATTAAATTGTTGTAGTAGCATATAAAACTATGCCACAATCGGATTTTAGTAGAAATACCTGAGACGATGTTAGAAATTCTTCTGCGTCTTCCTCTTAGCCCACCACAAGTTTAGTGGAATTTACTAAACAAAAAACAGTAATGTTGTGTTTGACGGCTGTCAGGAGTGTGTAAGTGTGTGGGTGTGTTAGAACAATAGAGGATGAGAGTGTGTTGTTGAGAGAGAATCCAAGGATCCAGCAACACAAGCTGGACTTCCCAGTCAATGCAGCACATGCGCAGAACCTTCACTGTAAAAGCAGTTCAGTTGGTGTTTGTGAGCTGTTTGCATCCCTTAGGTATTTCATAAAAACCTTGCAGAAGAATTTCACCTTGAAAACACAAAATTATGGCAAGGATTCAAGCCAAGTATATCTAGATTCTGAAATACCAGAAGACTCTAACAGCAGTTCTCATGGACATATGGAGCTCTCAGAACATAATTTAAAAATTACTTTTCTATGTAAATATCCCATGATTTTAAAAGAAAAAAGGATATCATTTGATCAAGTGACCAACTGACTGGATACAGGAAACGGAATGAACTTAAGGTGCTAACTATAGCATAGACAAAGTATAAACCCATTATAAACCAATCGTTATATAGAATAATTTAGGGAAATTGTGTCGCTTTCCAGAAAATTCTTAGGAGAGTCGATTGCCTAATCATAAATGTGTGTCTTTGATAAATCTC